TCAACAAGGCTGCCCAGAGTGAGTGTGACTATCACAGAGAAAGTAGTTTCATCCCGGACTCTGTGCGTCGGCTAATTTATGCCGTCACACAAAGGCGAGTGAACAGGGGACGCGGGAACAACAGGCAGGATTCTGACCGGAAATCATAATCCTTCAAGTGTTGGGGCAGCGCCGTGCATACAGACTTCCCTCAACCTGTTGGTGTTCCTTGAATTCAATAGTGCGTTCGAGTCCGTCGGCCGATCTTTCCTTTAACTTAGTTTCTGCAAAACTACGTGCCCCAGAAGTTCAAAAATATCATGCTGACCAAAGCTGTCTAGTCCTGTGGAATGTGCTTTGTGCCCACAAATTAAAAATTTGTGATGAAGGACGTCATCTTGAACATGCCTTTGAGAAGTTAAGGTGAATTCTGGTCCGTCCATTTATATCTGCAGGATTTTGAGGATAGCTTCTGGGTCTGTCTAGGCCTGAAGTTTAATTCGTTGTGACAACCCCCTGTGAAGGCATTCGTTGTTATCTGTAATTAAATTTATCGTGTTGAAGTAATCGTCACCTGATACATGCACCATTTGGCACTGGGGAATGAAAGCTCATGTTCTCTGGTTCTTTTGTTGGGCAAGCAACTGGACTGTTTCCGTAGATGAATGAACTGAAGATCTCCTTAGTTCATGGTGTGTAAGATCAATTTGGTATCGATTTGTCCTGACTAACGCCTTTCTGACTGGCAAAGTTCCAGACTGTCGATTCATGTGTTACTGACAGCCCACTCTTCCAGCTTTCTATTTCATGGGGCTCATCTGGTAAGCGTATTTCCTGAGTTTTACAAACAATTCGTTCTGCTCGAATACAAGTGACAAATTTTGAAAAATAAAATTTTGCAAGCTGGAAATTCATCTGAGTCTCTTTTTTGTGGCTGAATGTTGTGCGCAAGGGCAGCCTCATGTTTTCGTTGGCATGATGGTTGAAATTAATTTTTGACGAAGCAACCTACTAATCAGATTTGCTGAAGACTCCTCGACTACCCGGTACCCGGTACCAGCTCCTAGTTGCTATTTATCGTTAATTGTCTAAGAGTGCGGTAGGTTTCACATGAACTGTTGTCTAGTATGGTCTCTGTGCAACACGTCAGCCTGAAGCTTACTCACTACCAGAAGGGAAAACAGCGTCAGGGATTGAACTGGTGCTGGATGGATTTATTGCAAGTGTATGGCGCGCAAATGCTGACATATACCACTTTTAAAATATGTGTGTCTCCCGGCAGCTGTTCATTGGAAAATGCACAAACTCCATAAGGAGAAAGGACGCATACAAGGGCCGTGCGAACGAGCACTCAACAAATCAATAGTTGATTTGAAAACGTATTGATTACGATGTGGGCGTGAGGCTGGCTGACATTGGTCTCCAGTCTTAAATCGGAACACATGCCCCGAATTACTTTATACAGACTGACTGGATTGTGGATGAGCGGCGTGGCGTGATTAGGCGAGCTGATAAACACCGAATGGAAGCGCAGACTGTCGGTTGCTAGTACACAACTGTTACTAATGCGTGAGATACAGTTTGTATCCAAGACTGACATCTGTTAAGGTAGCAGCCAACAGGGTAAGAACATACCTGTTTTTTTCATTCGATAGAGTGGGAAAGTGTTCAACCTCTCGGCCAAAACAGCCCCTTTTATCTTGGTTGTCTCAAGCGATTTTTATAATCTATCCCCTAATTTTTTGGTCATATTTAATCTGTCCGTACAACTAAAGGTATGCATACGGGGAACTTAAAAACGCACGTATTTTCTATGCTGGCGCACATCCAAAACAAACCAGATCCACGTTTGTCTATGCCATCCTTGCAGAATTATCGTGTGTGCTATTTTTCAGTTTCTGTGAATGAAATCCATTCTTATTAGTCGTTCTTTCCACAAAAGATTGACCACATTCTTCACATGGGTATGGCCTTACTGTACTCTCTGTTCCATAATGCAAAAAAAATCTAGTGACGATTCTTTACCATATTATAAGCACTGTCTAAAACAAGGTGTCTCCAACCCCCCACCTAGGATCCCCTTACAAATTTCCGCGTTTCTTCCAAACAGACAACCTCAACATGGAAACAGACAGTTTACACATAATAGCCCATCAATATCATGGACCCAAAACCGTACATTCTGGTACCTTAAGGAATAACTGCTTTCTCCGCTCCACTTCTACGTGCCGGAAAAGACTCTCCAACAAGAAAAACAACAACTTTATTGCAACAAGTGAGTGCGAGTGCAAAACCTACAACCGCCTTGTGCGATATATTCAGGAATACACTGTCTGACCTTGATCCAAGGTTGTCTTGCACTGTCTGACCTCGATCTAAGGCTGTCTGGTCAGAGTTTGAGGGTCTCAGTAGGTTTTGGATATCTTGGGATAATTTTCAGGAATCTGACTTTCTGATAAAAGCCAAACAATATAGTAAGTGGAATATCCTTGAACGTAGTACTCTATTTCTATTCCGGTGAAATGTTTGGAGACCGTTAAAGCTCGGAAACCCGTAGACCATGCTTATTTCTCCTACAACTATTATACTTTTCAATATGTGAATCAAACGCACGAATACTGGACGCCTGTCGGTTGGGGTCATGCATCCTCACCACCAGATACTGACTACGCCTTCCTGGTCCTATCAGAACTTGACAACGTTAGCTCACCTGAATGATTCGGTGTTAATACTGAGTTTCACCCAGATCGCTAATCAATCACTCACTCAAAATGTACCGGGCCCCTGAATACTCAAAGAAAAACAAACATGTTTCTTACTGATAAATACTCGAAACCACGTATATCAATACAGTTTACTGAGGGGCTGATTCTACAGTACTAGTCAACCGTACTTGTTCAACACCCTTTTCCCACCGCTGGACATCAATAAATATCTTTGTTAACTCTTGCCACCTAAACTCCTTTTTAGAGCCCAAAAGTACTCAGCTGTCGAGGGTGCTGAACAGGAAGTCCATGGTTTGGATATCAACGTTGGTTTTCCGATGGCTGTTATCCAGGCCGGGGCAAACAACATCGAGGTGCCTGATGCGTTTGGGTAAAACTGTGAACGCATGCACGAAGGTTCCATGGTGCAAGTGAGAAAAGGACCAAGTACACGACATGGTCACAACACTCTGTAGTTTTTGAAAGACAAGGCGAGAGCTCGATAGCATGGGTCCGCAACTCTCAGTCAGTGTGTGCGTGTGTGTGAGCACCGTTTGATCAAACATTCATTTCAATGATATCTCTGACACTTTCCCATCTTGGTTGCGACTGTATCACCATGGTCACAAGCAGCCTGTAAAACCGAGTTTTCATTGGTTCGTTTCAAGGCCGTTTGTCAACCGTATAACTCGGGGCCGCGCTCTTGGCCCTACATGAATCCCAATCTAAATGATGATAGTTTCAACTCATCGGTTTCTTACACCCTTCCCATTTTTTGATGACAGTAATGCCGCTTAAGTGTCTTTCTTATTTGTCATTCAGTTGCCGCTTACCGAAAAATTGTTTGGTTTGCAAAAGGACAATGTTGGCTCCTAATGACATTTCCGTTGTTTGGACATGCCATCACTCATTGTATCATCCCTTATGTTGACACTGAAATTCCCCACTTTTATTCTGTCCCATTTGTAACCCCGTCCCACTTTTGTATCTAGTGTGTATATATGAACTGACGTTTGTTTGTCCTTACCACTTCACCCATTTGGCCTTGAGGTTATTTGGCCATTTGTATCTGACTTTGCACGTGTGACTGTCGCACGTGGGAGCCTGTTTGCTCCCTTGCTTTGTACTTTTGTAGTCCAAGCGGACTGTTTGTTTTGGACGCGTATCTACTGGCGAGGTTTGTATAAATTGTGAATTTCTCTTACCCTAATAGTACCGTATAGAAACCCAGCTCCGACTTTGTTTTGCCTACCCGGAGGTTCTGGTATTACGCGTCACTCGAAGATACCGTTCGACCGTTACACTCATTGTGGACAGACCTTCACGGTACTGAACTTTCCAGCCCAAAGACAGCACAAACTGGTGCCCGGAAGAAATTTTCGGATGAATTTTCAGCTTTAGATGGTTTATACAAAAGTACTACTGTGAAAAGTTGCCTATATGGACACAAAACGTTCATTTTGACTCGGATGTTAATTCTGACTGACCGTTTTACTACCATGAATTATCGGGTTATTGGTTGGTGTTCTCTGGTTGTGTGGCTGCGCAATTTTTATGCGAGAAAACTGGGATTCAGTTTCATTCCCAAAAGTTCCTGCCAGTCTCTAAAGAAATTGTGTAACCTTCTGCCTATTCTGGCAAAGTTACCTGATGCTCTTGCGCCGAATTTTCGAATGTGTGGGATTTCTGAGTTAGTAGATACATGCTTTTTTTGTAAATTCAGAAGAGGTTGATGAGGTTCGCGATATAATAAGTTTTATACGTTTCGTTTTGAGTTCCACCTAAGACGGGCCGGAGGATGTACTTAAATGCACCGTAAAACTGAGGATTCCTTTTCAATCAATTGGAAAATGTTTGGGACCGATTGGCAAGTCATCGTTTCAGAGGGGTTTGGTAAACAATCGGTGGATTTATTGCTGGGCAACGTTTCGCTTTTGACACAAAAGCTTCGTCAGGCCAAGTGAGTAAGTAAGTAGGTTGATTGGGTTTTAAGGCAGTCAGGGAACCAATCCGTGAGATTCCTTATGACTAATGACGCGGTCAGCGCTGGGTGTTCAGTCTGATGTTCCTGTTTGTTGATTAGTGGGGATAACTAAGATCTACGATGGATTGGTTAGAGGGGATTCGTCTTTATGATGAACCCGGATTTTTTCGTCCCTGCTTCTTCAGTCTAGGACACCTTAATGGAAAATTCCTCTTGGGGTCGTTCACAGATTTCGTTCACCTGTGTTCGTCCAAGGGTGCTGGGACAATTAGTTTGGGGATGGGGGTGGGTAGTTAATTGGATCTAACGCTACTTGGATTTTGTACTTTTAGACCCAGGCGATTTCGCTGATAACTGCACACCGCCTCGTGTCATCTCGGCTGATCTAAGACCGATGTTTAGGCGTTCCATTAACAAACCACCGAGAAACGCAGAAGAATACCAGGCGTTAGTCAAAGATTCAGCAATGACAGGGCATGCCCTAGACACTGGGCATAGGATAGATTTAGAAAATGTGGACATCCTGAGACGGGGTTTAAGAGTAACACCACAGCGACTGGTGGCTGAGGCGGTGGAAATCGCCAAGCATCCCAGTGTGAATAGAATAGAGGGGGTAGAACTTGCAAACGTGTGGAGAGCGGTCCTAGATCAGCCGAGATGACACGAGGCGGAGTGCAATTATCAGCGAAATCGCCTGGGTCTAAAAGTACAAAAAAAATCCAAGTAGCGTTAGATCCAATTAACCACCCTACCCCCATCCCCAAACCAATTGTCCCAGCACCCCTTTGTTTACCAAACCCCTCTGAAATGAGGATTCCTTTTGTTTCGCGGCACAATGTTGAATGACGAAATAAATAATTATGTGCTACTTACTGCTTCAAAGTAGCTAAATAGATTAAACAAATAAAATCAACAACGCTCAACTTTGTGCTTCGGTGCGCTCTCCTTCACTCAACGTGACTCACGAGCTTATATGTAAGTGCGTTCAGGTCACACTTTGATAACGATTTGAAGACAGACCGCCGTATGAACGCTATTCATGCTTGGAACAGGTCTCCAGCCAAGATGACCTAGTAACCACATCTGAATTTGTCCTCGTATCACATCACCGGAAAAGATACTCCGGTATGCGTTGTTGTAGATCTACGTCAAGGACAGAACTGACGGAACAGGCCCATGATCAGGGAATTCATCTCGAATCTCAGAGTGGATTCATCTTTGTCAGTTTCGCAGTCTCGTCGGCGGATGCCTTATCACCACGTCAACAGCCAATAACCCTATGCTCGGGAAGAACTCAGTGTAGTGTCTGGCTGACGTTCTGCAGATCTCATCATGTTTTAATTATTGACCAGTACATGGAGTAATTCTTCTGAGACAGCGTCATGATAAAGTGGTGGAACCGGCTTCTTACTAGGCGCATAGAAGTTGGGAACGCTTGAAGAAAAAACCTATGTAAGTCCGATTACACAAATGCGCGAACTTCGCGCACAAGACTGATTCAGGCCAACAATTCCATTGAATATTAATAAATGCCGTCTTTGTCTCCAAATGGATCTTCTGAAAGGACCGAACCTAGGTAGTCTTATAGGAGCGGTGGTCTTTTCGAGGAGAGGCTAGTCCGAAACGTTGCATTCTGCTATGGGTGCCCTGTCTCCAGTTTGCGAAAAACAGTGTTTCGAATCTTGCTGGGCACTTCATCAGACCACTCAACTACTTTTCATCTGTCGATGAGTAAAATGATCGATTGGACACACGGTATCGTGCGGTGATGTAGAACGGGACAGGAGTGATGCAGAACCTTGATGTGCTAGAATAACAGAAATAAATTTTTATAAAACCAGGATAAATAAGCTATTGTTCCGTTTCAATAGGTTATATGGTCTCTTTGCGAGAAACAGCTTGTATGCTCAACTCTCTGCTGCTCATCCATCTGTCCACAGTACCTAGTTTGAAGATTTTACAAAACGCAACACAGAAAGGAAAGTTTGCACTTTCAGTAAAATTGACAGGTACACACACCGTCTGTGATTTATATTCAGAACGTCAGGTCACACGACGATTTAACTTATTCAGTTAACATTATTCCTCATCGCCGGAACACAAAAAACAATGACACCATTTGCACGTCAGTCGATTCATCGATGCAACGTTATTGATCGTGTGTGCTTTGTGGTGTGCGGGCGTGCACACACGATAAATTACGTGATCAGCGGGTCAAGGACCTTGATACAAAGCTGTTAACATCCTTTCTCATTATTACTGAGATTCTCCACCCCAGAACCAGGCTGTGTGTGTGTGTGTGTGCGTTTTGTCAGTGCCGATATAAAAAAGGCGCAATTCCGTCGGACAGATCAAAACCTGCCTGGCAAAAAAAGATTGCCGCGTCACATAATGAGCAAACACAGCTCGAGCAGTTCGGACGAGGATACCAAAGAAACCGAGACAGAGAAAAAAGCGGTTATAAAGAAGACAGACATGAACTTGGAGATGCAGCAAGCCGCTGTGGATGCAACCTACGCTGCGATGGAGGCCTACGAGAAGGAGAAGGATGTGGCGGCGAATGTGAAACGAGAGTTTGACAAGAAATACTCACCCACTTGGAACTGTTTTGTGGGAAAAGATTTTGGGTGGTAAGTGTGTGTGTGTGTGTGTGCAACAGATGTTAAGTTCCACTTCTACCTGATTACTTGCTAGTGACAGTTTAGTATGTTGGGTGGTAGTGTGTGTGTGTGTGTGTGCAAAAGATGTTAAGTTCCACTTCTACCTGATTACTTGCTAGTGACAGTTTAGTATGATAATCGCCTAAAATGGGGCAGACATAGTTGTCCGAAGTGCATTTGGCATACTAAAGCTTCAAGAGACTTGTTTGTTTCGAAAAGTGGTGAAAACACCTTCAGACTTCTCCCCTACTGAAAGTTAACTGGGAGTGAAAGTCCTGTCCGTTAAAATAAAGAGGTATGACTTGACTTTTTTGTTCCAGTACCGCTCTGATCCTGTTTAGGGTAAGGCTAGTTGATTGCATGATCTGACTGTCAACGGTTTTGCACTGGGAGACACTTCTATTCTGCTACAGCAACCGACGGTGACCTGGCCAAAAGATGAAACAGAAGAATTGTACGATATTCGAGATATCGCGGTATATTTTCATAATTGAAACTACTCACAAGGTTGCTGAAAGCTATTTGACAGCCCATGACCGGTTTCTCCCTTCTTGGGGCGCAGTCTCCGGGTTTACGTCAACCTAACGTTCTACTTGAACCCAAATTTGACTGCTTTCGACAAATACACTCATTTGAAAATCAATTTGGTTTTCATGAACCTTGTGAGTAGTTTCCTTTTATGGAAATATACTGCGATATCTCGAATATCGTGCAGACTGAAGCATGAGGTGGCCTGTGTGCAGCATATTCAGTTGTAGAATATCATAAAAGAGAGATTCGGTTGGGTCTAAAGTGAAAACCGAATTGATTTGCAAATGAGTGTATTTCTCGAAAACAGTCCAATTTGGGTTCAAGTAGAACGTAATGTTGACGGAAACTCAGGGACTGCGCCTACTTACTGAGCCACAAGAAGGGCGAAACCGGTCGTGGATTTTCGAAGAGTTTTCAGCGACATTGTGAGTAGTTTCCCTTAAGGAGAAATGTGCTTGTAAAAATGTCCTGGATAAAGGTATTTCACTTTCTTCCTAGTAGTGGTCGACCGCAAAGCAAGTGCAGTATCCCAGCAGAGAATACGTCGAAATGTCTCATTGACAAGGGTATCGTTTCGATATCCAGTCCAATTTAAACGTCCTCGTTAGATCGATACAACCAGGATAGTGAATGGGATGTCGTTCGACCAATCACAACCACACACATGTTTGCCGGTGTAGTAGTGATAAGACGCTCGCCTGGAGTTGAAACCCCGGCATGGTCAACAATATGCGCTGCTCATGAGCCCTGGTAAATGCGCGACTCCCTTATTGTGTGGAGTCACGATAACAATGCGCCAGACGAGGATGAGCGGTGTTCAAACGACAGTGATGTGAGTGTCAACTCTTCTACACTTAAGAAAACTAAGAGATGGCAGGTCGATGAGCTGAGTAAACGAGTGCACTGGTCTAGATAGGTGGGTCTTTATACTGGATGGATCTGGTTTTGTGTGCCGTAAGATCACCAGTCATGGCCCAACAAATTTGCGAAAGGTCACCGATAGAATGGCAAGGTGTGGTCCATCGCTAAAGGTCACTCAAGTCCCAGGTGGAGAGCCCAACCAACCGGGCGCGCACTCGTAACTGAGCGTTTGGCATACGCGTCTTTAAGATGGTGGAAATCCTGATCTCATTTCGGGTTTTCCTACATGTGTTCCCGTAATTACAGTCTTCCAAGTTCAAGAAAATAATAGGATTGAACTATTCGTATTGGTTTTCCAGGAGATTTTCTTTTTGGTAATGTGCTACTGAGGGGTGATATACCTTTAAAAAGTAGTTTTATAGTAGTATCATCATTGCAGTACAGGCGATTTAACAACGAAAGAGAAAAGCCAGTAAAATTAACCTCCGGGTATTCCAGTTACTCGTTCTTTGGACGGGGGATAAAACAGATACTTGATTTAGCACCTTCCTACCTCTGGAGTACACCTGGCAGTTTAAGCAGAATATAAGCTGGACGAAAACTTGGGACCGCGCCTACCTGACGAGCCCCAAGAAGGGCGAAACCTCTCGTGGGCTGTCGACGAATTTTCAGCAACCTTGTGAGTAGTGCATTACGTCGATACATCTATTCCGTTAAAACATTATAAACGAGGGATCCAGTTGGGTTTTAGGTCAGTCTCCGGGAAGAACAAACCTTTTTGCAAATAAATGTATTCTTCCATATTCATACATGGTTGGCTCTGAACAACGCTGTACCATGCATGCAGTTCAAATCTCAGTTACTTCACTGGAAATAACACAAGTCAGGGTTCACAAAAGGCTTATTCAAGTCTGTTCAGAGAGCACCAACATCTCGGTGGCCCTTGATTGGTCATGTACAGGAACGGACTTNTTCCTTTTATGGAAATATACTGCGATATCTCGAATATCGTGCAGACTGAAGCATGAGGTGGCCTGTGTGCAGCATATTCAGTTGTAGAATATCATAAAAGAGAGATTCGGTTGGGTCTAAAGTGAAAACCGAATTGATTTGCAAATGAGTGTATTTCTCGAAAACAGTCCAATTTGGGTTCAAGTAGAACGTAATGTTGACGGAAACTCAGGGACTGCGCCTACTTGCTGAGCCCCAAGAAGGGCGAAACCGGTCGTGGATTTTCGAAGAGTTTTCAGCGACATTGTGAGTAGTTTCCCTTAAGGAGAAATGTGCTTGTAAAAATGTCCTGGATAAAGGTATTTCACTTTCTTCCTAGTAGTGGTCGACCGCAAAGCAAGTGCAGTATCCCCAGCAGAGAATACGTCGAAATGTCTCATTGACAAGGGTATCGTTTCGATATCCAGTCCAATTTAAACGTCCTCGTTAGATCGATACAACCAGGATAGTGAATGGGATGTCGTTCGACCAATCACAACCACACACATGTTTGCCGGTGTAGTAGTGATAAGGCGCTCGCCTGGAGTTGAAACCCCTGCATGGTCAACAATATGCACTGCTCATGATCCCTGGTAAGTGCGCGACTCCCTTATTGTGTGGAGTCACGATAACAATGCGCCAGACGAGGATGAGCGGTGTTCAAACGACAGTGATGTGAGTGTCAACTCTTCTACACTTAAGAAAACTAAGAGATGGCAGGTCGATGAGCTGAGTAAACGAGTGCACTGGTCTAGATAGGTGGGTCTTTATACTGGATGGATCTGGTTTTGTGTGGCGTAAGATCACCAGTCATGGCCCAACAAACTTGCGAAAGGTCACCGATAGAATGGCAAGGTGTGGTCCATCGCTAAAGGTCACCCAAGTCCCAGGTGGATAGCCCAACCAGCCGGGCGCGCACTCGTAACTGAGCGTTTGGCATACGCGTCTTTAAGATGGTGGAAATCCTGATCTCATTTCGGGTTTTCCTACATGTGTTCCCGTAATTACAGTCTTCCAAGTTCAAGAAAATAATAGGATTGAACTATTCGTATTGGTTTTCCAGGAGATTTTCTTTTTGGTAATGTGCTACTGAGGGGTGGTATACCTTTATAGAGTAGTTTTATAATAGTATCATCATTGCAGTACAGGCGATTTAACAACGAAAGAGAAAAGCCAGTAAAATTAACCTCCGGGTATTCCAGTTACTCGTTCTTTGGACGGGGGATAAAACAGATACTTGATTTAGCACCTTCCTACCTCTGGAGTACACCTGGCAGTTTAAGCAGAATATAAGCTGGACGAAAACTTGGGACCGCGCCTACCTGACGAGCCCCAAGAAGGGCGAAACCTCTCGTGGGCTGTCGACGAATTTTCAGCAACCTTGTGAGTAGTGCATTACGTCGATACATCTATTCCGTTAAAACATTATAAACGAGGGATCCAGTTGGGTTTTAGATCAGTCTCCGGGAAGAACAAACCTTTTTGCAAATAAATGTATCCTTCCATATTCATACATGGTTGGCTCTGAACAACGCTGTACCATGCATGCAGTTCAAATCTCAGTTACTTCACTGGAAATAACACAAGTCAGGGTTCACAAAAGGCTTATTCAAGTCTGTTCAGAGAGCACCAACATCTCGGTGGCCCTTGATTGGTCATGTACAGGAACGGACTTCATGGAACAGACCAGAAGATGGTTCAAGTAGAACATAAGGTTGACGGAAACTCGGGAATTGCGCCTACGTGATTAGCCTCAAGAGGGGCGAAACCTCTCGTGGGCTGTCAAAGAGTTTTCAGCAACCTTGTGAGTAGTTTCCTTTGTGAAAATATACTGCAATATCTGGAATATTGTACCAACTAAAACACGAGGCGGCCTGTGTGCAGCACATTCAGTTGTAGAACATCATAAACGAGAAATTCAGTTGAGTCTCTCGTGAAAACCAAATTGATTCGCAAATGAGTGTATTTCTTGAAAAGATGTCGTACTTTCTTGAACAGTGTCAGGAGTAAGACTTCAAAGAATGAGGGCACTTCTTTAGAAGTAGTGTAAAACTGGTTGGCCCAGTTATTAAAACTGACTGTAAATGAGTATTATGGGTTGTCGTTGAATTTACTTAGAAACTATAAGAACTACGCATGAAAGGAAGAAGGCCTTTATTAGAGATGCCAAGTAGACAGTTAGAGACCATTGGACAGAGAAGCAAAACTCTCATATGCATCTAGTTTGCAAAAACTGAATATCCATCTTCTCCTTGAACGCGTCTTCCTGAACTTTTCTGGATATTCATTGACTGTTGCTCAAATCCAAGCAAATGCGACTCCACAAGTTCTGTAATAGATCTCACTTTTCAAGGTACGCGAAGCGGAAAACATACTACTCCCATACCCCATCAGCAGTATCCACCGTTACACGGTCTAAAACTAACCCAACGACATGGTCTGCTCATCTTCCAAGGCCTTTCCCCTCAACTTCAGCTTTTCTGTCCGTTAAAAATAAGCCAATGTCTCATGCAAAAAATGCACTTTTTTGTGTCGATTACCAATCACTCAGTATTCTGTTTTCCTTTTACAGCTACCTCACACATCAAAAAGGAACATTTATCTATTTCCTGCTGATGGGGAGGGCTGTACTTTTATTTAAGGCAGGAGAGTACGCATCCGATGATTAGTGATATTTTTATGTATTTAATCACATCCGTGATCGATTATATTCAACTAGTTTACAACAGATACTTGTTCCGCTATTCTTCGGTTTTCTTTCTGCCACGGGCCCTCGAGGATGGGTGTCATAGGGCTGAAAGCAGCAGGATTGGATGAAATATAGAGTGAGGGCTTGGACTGGGACCATGGGCACTCGGCTTTGTAGGCCTTACGCGGGGTGCCTTCAAACTTCAGAATGCACAGGCGTTTGGCTCGTCCATCTTTACTCTATCCTTTACAATAAGGCTTTCAAATAAATCATTGTTGTACGGCAGTGAAGCATCGGTTTTGAACACTGATGTCATGCTGTCGATGATGATGATGATGATAATGATAATGATTGGCTGTTTAGACTTCCCTTAGGACGGGGAAGTGCGGCATAGTTCTTTGGTTCCGTTCTATCGGAAGACCGTTGAAACCTCGTCAATGCAAAAGCTTCAGATGCTAAGGCGTCATTGAACCATGGTGGATATGATGTCGTGTTTTTGTCACTGATGATGATCGCAGCCTTGTCACCAGTCCTCTGTAGTTTTTCACCGAGTAGCTCTTCGTATTTTCACTTGGTTGATATTCACCTTCCTTTATCCAAATCAGATTATTCCTGTCGCACTGATTACATTCTCTTCCTGAGAGACTGGTCGTTATGGGATGGTCTAGTGCAGCTGAACGTGCTTTTAAGTTCACACCATTTCCGCTTGAGTGGTGTTCACTCAAAGTGAACGCTGACCCACTAGGTTTGCACTAGCTTGCTAAGCAAACCTTTCGGACAGGTGTGAATTGGACATTTGAGAGGGAAATTTCACCTGAAAGGAAATTTTTTGGTGTTGCGCGTTGTCTAAAATGGGTTACGTTCTTCTTGGAACTAAGCTGATACATTGTGAGTGTTAGCGCACGTGGTTTGATTCATGGTTGAACGATGTATTAACACGAAGAGGTCAGAGCAATTTTGTCTTCTTTATAAACAGCCCCTGCCAACCTGGTGTTGGGTCACTAATAGTATAATATTTATAGGGAGGAGGCCTTCGTTGCGGAGTTATTTATTAGAAAATGCCAAGGGAACAGTTGTCGACTATTGTACAGGTAAGCAAAACTCTCATATGCATCTTGTTTACAAAAACCGAATATGGTTAATGCTCTAACGGAACCCGAAAACTAGTTGTATGAACGAGAAAACGGAGAGCACTAATAAAATCAGCTTGTTGAGTAAAAATTATTACAATGGGTGTATATGCCAACAAGGGGACTTATCGTATTGCAGATTCAAGTTGGTAAATCCTGTTGTGAGTCCGGACGCAGGTTTCGTGTTTTTTTCGCAGTTGTAGCAGCCACACGTATTCCTGAAAATCCGTGAGTGAAACGCCGTAAGTCCCAAGCGGCTCTGCTCCGAGCTGGGTGACGTGCGAAGCTCCGTTGAGTTGTGTCGTATTGCTGTGCTGGCATCCTATTTGTAGGAACGTTTGCGTGTGTGTGGGTATCAGTACATGACTTGTTGCTACCGTATCAGACGGTAGACAGTCGATCTCGGATGAGTCATCCTTGTGTACCGTGGTTTGTACGTGTAGGGAAAAAAACGAGGTCTTGGGATCTAGGGCTTGATTGTGAGCTGTGTAGTCAAGTGAGTCACGGTTGTGTGGCTTCATTTGTGAGTGCAAGGGGAAAAGATAGATCTCGTGATCCAGCGAGTGGCGGTGACCTGTACAGTCATGTATGTGGCGAAAGGGTAGCTACAATATCAACCTTCTCTTTGAACGCGTCTTCCTGAATTTTCCTGGATATTCATTGATTGTTGCTCAAATCCAAGCAAATGCGACTCCACAAATTCCGCAATAGATCTCACTTTTCAACAGACGCGAAGCGGATCTACGAGAAAAAATACCACTCGCATGCTCCTCATCAGTAGTATCACCGTTACACTAGTAGTATACTCTGTGGGAACCCACCGGAAGGAGGTCACCAGTTTGTCGGTCTAATAGCGAGATTGAATGGAGGTCAGTTTTGGATGACCCGCAAAGCACAAAGCGCTGCTTTCCTCCGCTACGATATCTTGGCATCCTGTCTACTTACGAAGACCAGCCGCAGTATTAAGCATTTTAATGTCTGGCCGTACGCATCAGGGCGACAATTTTGTTGTACATGCTTGTTGTCCGCAATACCTTCGCATCTAATTCGTTGCCATTGAAGTTCTTCAGATTGCTAGAGAGGATACAACGCCGTTGCCAATCCCACGTGACAGTGTCAAGGTAAAGGCGTATGAGACCTTCTTAATTTTACCGTGGCTCCCAATTTCCGCTGATCTGTTTGCTCTGTGAATGCCTCATACCTACAGGAACCGTCTGAACTGTATTCGTAAATTTGATAAAATCAATCGTTAGATCACATGAAATGGTCTAACTATAAACGCTGAAATTCCAATGAGGCGCTGACGCTTACTTTTATGCACTCACCGCCATAAGTTGAAAGAGTGACACGATGTTTCGATGGAGTACCATAGTACTTCGAGCCTCCCATCCCATCTTGATGATGTTCGACCTGTCAATAACTGATAAGTACCGGACAGAATACATAAGATCCCCGACCTCGAAATTGAGTTTTTCGCCACTAGGAAATCGGACTGCTGAGGTGTCATTCAGAACATTACCTTACACTCAGTAATAGCTTTTTCAGGTTTTTAGACAGAATCCCTGTCAATAAGATGCCCCTATGATTGGGTTTTGTAATTTAATCGCTTCCGTTCTCCATCGCACTGTGTTCCACTTCACTTGGTGGCAGAAAAAAACTTTGTTGGTTCTGGGATTGCTTGTAGTGAAGGTTTGTTACCTGTTGACCGCTCACTTCATTCCACTGAGGCATCTACAATTCTTTCTCGGTGTTTTGTTGGCATGGTTCTCGGGCTGGTGAACTCACAGAACAATGTCGGTATTTTGTTTTAAAGCGTAAGACCGACTTCAACTAAAAGGAATCTGCGCATTTTTACAAGCAAAATAACAAAAAATGCGACCAACGGAATTTTTTAAAAGGTCATCGTTGGTGAATCCTTTGTGCTACGCAAGCTCTCGACAGAGCAATGTACCCGAACCATTCTTGGTTTTTCCAGTGGTCTTGACTCCTCAAATTTCTAACAGCTGCCCTACTTAAGACTTGGTCATCACTTTCTCCCAGTTTTGTCAACCAACGATGATGATCGAGGATCAATGGTATGTTGATCACATGACTGTAAAATGCTACTTCCACCCGATGGCACAATAACGTGGCCAGGCCGGGTGTTCTGAGGTATTAGAAGAATGGTCGACAGAATCTTGTCCAACGGGGGACCCTACATTTATCCTTGTCAGTGTACTTCATTTTAACCGGGAACCTTGCTACTTTTATTGTATACGGATTGTTCTAAGCGAATGGGTTCTGTATGGTGTAACAGGAGGCAATGCGACCCAAGACTGAAATCTCCGCTACCACTTGATCAAACAGAAAGTCGCCGGAAATTGTTATAAGTGCCAGAGTAAAGTAGCCAGTCACGTGAAAACTACCCATTCAAAATTTGAAAGAATACTATGAGCGAGGAATCGATTGTTTCTCATAGTGTTGATATTGGATAAGCTGGCGGAATCACTAATTTTTGCTGAGCTACTCAGATGTGAGAGACATCCAAATAAACTATGGATTGTCAGCGCGCCACACCGTACGAAAATCCAAGTGTAAAGCCGACTGAAGCCTACCTAATCCAGAGACTACTGTTGATTCACATTTCCGAACTTGGGTAAGTGACTTGGGAATGTGCAACCTGGTGAGTTTGCCAACTGTGCAATACGAGAGTGATAGGTTCACTGAAAACCAGAAGTTGCGTTGGTTGGGACATGTGTTGCGTATGCCGAACCATCGTTTGCCGAAGAGAGTGCTGTTTTCCATGCCCAATTCAGAGTGGCGTAAACAGAAAGGTGGCCAACCCTTGACTTGGCAGAGGAGTATGAAGGAGATCACGAAACGCTTGGGTGCTGTCGGTGCTACTCGCCTTCCAGGATGGGGACCGCGTGATCCTCACTGTGCCTGGTTGGAGACACTACAAGATATGGCTGCCAACCGATGTCAGTGGCGTTCTTGTTGTCAGTTTTTATCCAGATGGGCTGAGTGAATGTCTGGAGGTACAAGCACCTCGGAATGATTGTGTTAAGCAAGCAATAAGTCCCTTCCCCGTCCACCTTTACTCTTTTCTTCACAATAAGGCTTTCAAATAAGTCATGGGTGTACGGCAGTGAAGCATCGGCGTTGAACACCGATGTCACGCTGTCGGTGATGATGATGGCTCACTTAAGCAACAACAGACCGACCAATGCTTCGGGCCCGCCGTTTCTTCGGAATGCGACCAGGAAATCTCCGACTTCCCGACAAAATAGGAGAACACACTGGAAGATTGTCTTGTCCCCGATCCCTGAAGTTTGGTCTCACTCAACACGCAGCCTCCTAGATACGCTACTGAATTCCACTTGATTTACATTGATCAGCGCACGTACGGGGTGAACGACTTCGAATGTCACTTCAGTATTTCAGCTGTTACCGCACGTTGCCCATTTCGTGCCTCCCTCGCAGCGGGGCCGTTCAGATGAGGCTCCCTTTCTGAGTGCGGCCATCTAACTCACGTTCCACCTAACCCTCGAAGAATCTGAAGCTTTTTGTTTAATCAGTTCGAGCAAAGGTCTGGCAGTTGACGTAATGTAGTTCGTCCACTGCTGTTATAATTTCGCAATATATATGGTTAGAACTTTTGTAGGACGTTGGGCAGGTGGCAGCTAATCTTCGGTTCACCGAACTTGACTTACAGACTTTGTTTGTTACAGACATTGTTTGTGTGTGCAGGGCACATCAGGTGGACGTTAACCACCTCTGCACGAACGGCACAAAAATTATGAGGCCATTATCGACCGACGGTTATTACTTGGTTGGGTATTCTTGGCACTTTGCCATACAGGTTAAATGACGAAGAGTATACAATTACATGTTCAAAAGGGTTAGTAGGCACGTGACGTCAGTGGTCTGGAACTGTTAAACAAAGAATTCCGCCACTGCATAGCCATCTGAGGAATTCTATTGAAAATGAAAGATCTTTTTATCAGAAAACGTTTCTTCTAGGTTGATCAACTGTAATGCCAGGTAGGCAAAGGGGTTATTCTGTGTCCGTGATCTTCAGAGCTTTTTTCAACCAGCATCTTCGTAAAGACAGAGGAATTTCCTCCGTGATCCTCCCCCCATTTTCTAGCATCGGAGCATCTTTCCACTAACAAGCTGCAACTGAACTTTTCGCAGTCACTTGTTTCAATCCGAAAGAATTGGAACACCACATTAGACCAGTTTCTCCAGTTTCCAGACTTCGAAACCTGGAGGCAGTGAAGCATTGGTGTTGAACACTGATGTCATGCTGTCGATGATGATGATGATGATGATGATGATGATGATGATGATGATGATTCGGATGATGATGATGATATTGATGATGATGATGAGTCTTGGAAGGTGATCGGACTTTGTTAAGCATCTGTCCACATGTTCACCGTCACCACTAGTACTCCCAACATTGGAGTGGTAAATCAATACACTGGCCAAAAATTGAAGATTCTAGTGGCAGTCCTGCAAAGTTTCAGACCCTCAGTCCGTGGTTTGTGAATGGTCATCAGTTGGTTGTTGATGAATCTTGAATAAAGATCAACGATAAAACTTTAATTTGATTTAGGTCAGTCAGTGAGGTGGGAACAAAATACAGCGAATTGCTCGTCTCAACGTAAGAGACACTTGGTGGCCACATGCACAACGCTGTTTGGACGTGTTTACGACCCATCAACCGTGTGGGAATGTGCCAGCGGTCGGGGAGCTATTGTTACGCTTATACGTAGAAGTCGCATTTGGCAAACCAAAACAGGAAATTTCGGTTGATGTGAAAAACATCTACAACGCAGAAAGAAAAGGCAGTTTTTGTGCCAAAGCGTGCAGCGATTGATTAAATTTTCGTTTTAGTAGAGTCGGTGGACTTGAAGCATAAAATTGCTTTTCAAAAAACCAATGTAAAACAAGAATGGGATGAAATCAACGAATGAAATAGAATGAAACCAGCTCTACTAAATTGAAACCAACAATTTCGGGTGTACGGAGTTTGACGATTTGTCAGCTTGTTGATTTTACTCGCGTGTTTTCTTCAGAACGTCAAAAACGTTTCGTTTTGGGGTTCAACTCAACTCGCCAAACCAAATAACGATTCGTGAATAGAAGATGACTAAATTAGCAATAAAAAGAGAGTAGTATGTTCTTCAAGTCTAGGCCTATCAGGTACAGTCAAAGCGAAAACCTTAAGAATTCAGTAAGTTTCTGAAAAGTTAGAGCCTTCTTACGAGGGCAGCCTGGCCCACAGACTCTATTGGTCAGCCAGGTCGTTCGTGGTACTCAACAACTCACTTGAAGTGGTTAAAATCGGTTTTGTTTTCCGAACTGCCAGATTACACAAGATGAAGCCTGAAGTTCTGTGTTTTGTGAAATAAATGCTTCCTAATTTGTACATAAACGGACAACAAAACTCTCGTTCGGTTGAGTAAAATGATAATTACAAGACATCATTTGAGAAACAATGAAACTGAGATGAACAAACAACGTGTTATCGAGCGTATTTGCAGAATGTGTGCATGATCTCAAGAATTCTCAGAATCTACTCAATCGTTCGTGCGAATTGTACACACTGACGAAAGCAAAAATTAATAATGCATTACTCTCGTTGTCCCTCTACCCCTTTTGCAATTTTTTTGTGTCAAAACACACGCTCGTATGTCTAATTCCTCGTGAATTATCGCTGATCATGTAGTGTCGCATCTTGCACTGGAACAGATCGATAAACTAATCTAAACTTAACGCTAATTATAAGTCTGTTGAAAACCTTTCGACCGCCCACTAGCGACATTCCCGTTTTTCGAGCTTAGCACGTAGGAGAGTCGCCGAGTACCTGTCAATTTAATTTTCTACTGAATACCGAATTGTCCGAAAGTGGCGAATTCGCTCGTTTTCAACTCAAGCTGGCTTTCACGGAAGACAACAAGAGTCAGGATCGAGTAATTGGGCGAACAATTCACAGCTGATGATTTATTAGGCTGTCGGCAGCACGTGATTGCGACATCATCGACTGTGGATGTGTGATCCTTTAACGTCAATTTGAGGAGAAGAGTGGACTCGACCTGAATGTCACACATACTGGTCCCAGGATGAGGCTCAAAATAGTCGAGTGGTTGAGGAACGAACCCGCCGATCCGATGGTTCTTGGTTTAAACCGGATCCTTGTAATTTGACTGCCATAGTCTAGACTTGGTCAGCCTGGCAGTAACTGAGTGACCTTCGAGTGGCGTGGCAGCAAGGTATCAAATGGATACCTAACATCACTACCCCATCCAACAAATCAGACAAGTATAAAGGACGGGGACTCTTAACACCAATCAGATTCCAAACTGAGCAAGTCACCTAATGACCAACCAACACAAGCGCAGAGGGGGAATTTACCTGGTCAACTTCCAACTGACGATATCGCCTCGATCGATGATAACGAAACGTCTGAAATTCGGACGAACAGAGTAGGTTTTCCGACTCGTACCGGATTCGCCTTACTTTGGTTGAGAGAATCAACCGAACGAACAGGCGGCTGAATCGTTTTTTACCGCAGGACAACTCGATTAGGCACTATACCCATACAAGACTTCGGACCCCATCCGAATACCCTACAGCCTGTTTGGCCTGCTGATTACTGCTACGTCATCTGTTCCTGTTTATTGGCTGTTCTTTATGGTACCTGTGGGCTTATTCTGCGTCCAGTGGTGACTGGGGTCGTAAACTTTGTTAATCGCTTGGATCAGAAGCGTGTCTGGTGATCGTAAACTGCGACCCTGAGACGGATGTTCTAGGAATGTGGATAAGACCGACAGAGGGTATGTTAGGCAGAATTCCACACGGATCCCGCTTTACCGTACGTCTTTAGGCGCTGCTACGGCCGATAATCCTGACCCGCACGAGATTGGCCAAGAATTCGGGACACTTGCCGGTCCGGCATCAAGACGAGATCTGATTGGTCAGAAATCTGGGCCCAACGGCCAATCGTGACCCAGTATTGACCAAATGCCGGTTGCCAATGGCGCATCCAGAACGCGTCAGAACTTCGAGAAAGTTATAACCGCTCAAGCTAAGCTATAAATACGAAGCGCTGTACAACTGTTCTTGACTTCGTTTTGGGCATTAATAGACCTTGTGCACCTTTAGTGGTTGTTTTGACGTGAACGCTAGCTTGGGAGGCTCAGTCCGAGAACTAAGCTGAGGAAAATACCGTTACTACAGGATAGGTGGCCATTTTTGCATACGGTATCACTAGTGCTGTAGAAATTTTCACCAGCCGTTCCAGCGGATCCATCGCCAGCAGAATGTTTGGATGAGTATACAGTGGAAACCCAAAACGATTTAGCAGACACGTGGGTGAGGGAACTGGTTTCAGGATTCTTCTACTGGCAAACAGCAAGCCAGTAAAAACAGAGGAAACCTGACAAGAGCGCCCCAGTAGGAGCAATCTGCACTCATGTACGGGCGTCCAGCCCAATGAGTATTTGTGGTGAGGTGAACATATTGTTGAACGATAATGGGTCACTTACCGTGGTTGCTTGAAAGGAGGACCGCAAATTCAATCTAGAAAGCGTAAAGATTCTGGCATATAGAGACGCCGGTCACGGAAGGGGATTTCCGCAAGCATGGTACTTCAACCAAACGATGCATTGAACTGGATCGAATTCACCCACCACTTCTCAACCGGAATACTCAAGGAGAACCGCATATTGAATTCAAAAGCAAGAAAACAAGGATCTCCTTGGAGTCAGATCAATAAAGCTCACAAGCCGAAACTTGGAAAAGTCAAGTACAGAGGTCACTTCAGTATCGACGAGAGTACGAGTGCAGGGCCTACCAAGCTCACAGGTCACTTTGGCGTCGACCAATCAACATGAAGAAACAACCCGAACAACTGATCTTGACCAAAGGTCAGCTCCGGCTAGCAGCACGTATATCAACACACACGCTCAACCACCAGCACATCGCTACGCTCCCTAACAACGCACTGATGATGTCATCTCGATTGGTAATGAGGTGTTTGCAATCAAACTGCCCAGCTCAGTGGACAAGCCAACAACTATCTACGCCAACTAGGCTACCAAGGTGGCTGATCGTATTGAACCAAATTCAAAGAATCGTTTGAGGTGCACAAGGCCAGTCTGCTTTCGTGGACTGTCACGACTTCAATTATGCACTAATGCTTGACCCTCGTTCTTCGTGGCAACCCTGAAATAAGGTGGGACACACCAGCACTATTACAGGATCTAATCAATAATATGTCCGTAGCAGGCATCCCGAAAAACTGGCTGTCAGGAATTTGATCAGACGTCTGCCGACGTTGAACTCGTGGGGTAATTCATCATCATCATCATCATCCGAATCATCATCATCATCATCATCATCATCATCATCATCATCATCATCATCATCATCATCATCATCATCATCATCATCATCATCATCAGTGTTCGACAATGATGCCTCGCTACCGTATGCGCATAATTAATCCGCTGTGAAAAAAGAACAAAAGTAAATTCAGAGGGGTATGGCGTTAACCGACTACAATCATTTCGAGTTGCTTACACCACCAGACGCTCATTCAAGCAATCTGGGATAAAAAAAACAGACAAGAACAACGTCATTAACGTATATTAGTGGCCGCATATTTCAGCGTTTTCCACCATGCATTGGACGGGATCATGCGGACACCACAATAGAGAAGAGGCTTTATAAACAGCCCGTTTTTGGCTGCACATGACACGCCTGTACGCGTCGGTGATCAACAGATCAGCTGATTCGCACGCTCATTGGCTTCCTGGTTTGGCTAAGCACATCAGGCAACCAAGCAGCTATCCAAACTCGAGTTCACGGTATTAGGAAGGCATTAGGCAAGCTGTGATCCACAAAACGTTTTCTAGTGGTAATCTGCTCACTGAGATTGACTGTCTTATTGCAAAAATGCTTCATCACCCTCATAACACATTGAGTATGGCACCTCGATCAGGCAGGCAAACTACAAATTTGAGTGATTAGAACACCAGACACCGATGACATCCGAGAGACTAACATTTATCCTAACGGCGACCTTTCTTTCCCGAAACCTCTCTAAAAAAGAACACCGCTCAATAAGTGACTTCCTTGCCCAGAAAGATATAAACAGTTTATTTCATCAACAACGCCGCAGTATACATATCCTCTGCAAACAGACCCTCTACACAAGAGCACGTGTTGGTTATAAATGCTCAAGTGCAGAATAAACTGAGAGGGGGGCAATTCCTTCAACCGATCAGAACGTCTGGCATATCGTGTCACGCGTGTGCGGTCAAAACTTTGCGTGTCGGCCAATTTCGGATTTACATAACAGAAAGGATGAGTGGCGCTATATCCTGTCCAAGTGCGAGTTAATCACAGTGCTGATCAGCCACTCGTGGCCGAACGGTTAAGTGTTCAAACTACTAGCCGGGTAGGTCGCGGGTTCGAGACTCTTCGGAGTTTCGTGAGATGCGCGCTGCTGATGATCCCCAATAAGGATGAAACAGCTGTACAGTGCTTCTTGGCTTTTCAGCATAGATTGGCTTCACTTACAGGACAAAATCTCCACAAAAACCCAAATCTCCGCACACTTCCCACATTTACAGGACTGTGCTTTGCACCGTAAAGTTTATCAAAGAGGAAGCATGCATCAAAATAGCAAATATTCTTGAACGCATGGAACTCGACTTTATTGGCGAAAAAGTTCTGATTTTCGAAAATAAGATGGGAACCCATTGGAGCAAAAATGCAGCCATGACACGTGATTTTGAAAATTTTTCTAATGGAATGAGGATTTGATGCGTTTTTTGGTCATTCCAAAACCATTCGGAATTCGGATGTTCAGGGCGATAGTAGAACTGTGAACGCATAAGTAGAAAAACTGCAGACAAAGCAGTCAGTAAAATCACGGAAAAGCCGGGAAAAAAGATGATTTCAGCGGTGAGGTGACATTCCGGAGCATCGAGGACCGACTTTCGTTCAATTGAAACAAGCGCTGTCTGGCGTGCATACATTGCTGAATTCCACAAAATAGTAAATAGAAGATTTGGTTTGGAAAGCGTGGAATAGCGCAGCACATTACTGAACGAAGCTACGGGTAAATGACGGGCACAGACCTTTCAGTTGCTTCTATATGTTTGTAACTGAAGTCGAAACTTCGAAAAAAAGCTTAAACTGCTGCATGGAAAAACTTGTCGTTTTTAGCTCAGAGACAAGGAAGGATTAAGAACAATTAAAAAACCGAGGGGATTTTCAATCGATTGGGAAACGTTTGGGACCGACTGGGAAGTCATCGTTTCAGAGAGGTTGGGTAAACAAGCCCGGCGATTGTTTACCAAATCTCTCTGAAACCGAGGCGATACTTTTTGGGGTCGAAGTATGTCTGAGTATGAGTGAATACAGTGAGATATTTCTTGTCCAATCAAACAAGTGCTCGGACCCACAAAGGTTTTGTGCAGATGCAGTCCCGTTTACGGCTGAGCGGAAAAGCCGTGGAGGTCACTGAAAGAGAGGTCATGGAGCGTGACAGTTTTCCGAAGGTTGAACGACAAAGTGCAGAAATTGAGGACGTACGCGCAAATGGAACGAGAGTTGAACCAGTTCAGCCGTCCAGTGGGGATACTTCAGATAAACAACAAAGTTGGTTGTTTGAACTGGTTACGCTTGGCCATCGTGTGCTGTTCTATGATAAACAACGAAATATGTGGGTTCAAGTAGATCATAAGGTTGACGGAAACTCGGGGACTGCGTCTACCTGATGAGCCCGAAGTGGAAGGGCGAAACCGGTCGTGGGCTGTCGAACAGTTTTCAGCCACCTTGTGAGTAGTTTCCTTCATGAAAACGAAATATGTAGTTTCACCGTTGCTACTGGAAATCCGTTGCAGTAATGGCAGTATGCCTCAGAGAAACCCAAAATGGCAACTGAAATACTATTTGATTTTGACGGAACACAACACTACTCATGTGGTGAGTATCGCACTGACACCAAGTTAATTCATCGTATTTCGTTAGTCACGCACAATTAGAATGTAAGCTGAACAAAAAGTCGGGGATGGGTCTACCTGATAGACCCTTCAAAGGGGGATGAACCCGCCTCAGGATACCAAAGTGCCTTCATCAAGCTTATGAGTAGTATGTTCTTCAGGAAAATTTACTGCGCTGCCTCGAACATCGCACCAAATGAGACACGAAACTGTCTCCATCAGGTACAGTCAACTGTAGAGTTTCGTGATAGAGAGATCCATCTGGATCTCGAAAGAGTATTCCGTTTATACTAACCCATGAAGGTCAGAAGTCGCGCAACCTTTGGTTATGTCCTTTCAGTTGAGTCGCGCAAGTCGAACTGCAGCAAACAGGAATCCTTCCGGAAAGCAGACACAAACTGAACAGCCGTGGGGACAGTTGTTTCACGCTTTAATTCATCAGTCTAGGTGGCAGAAGATCAGGAAAGCACATCTCGTTAAATGAATGATGCGCAAGTCGAACTGCAGCAAACAGGAATCCTTCCGGAAAGCAGACACAAACTGAACAGCCGTGGGGACAGTTGTTTCACGCTTTAATTCATCAGTCTAGGTGGCAGAAGATCAGGAAAGCACATCTCGTTAAATGATTCATCGGGAACGACGCTGCCGATGTAAGATTTTGAAAGTAAATTGCTTGAAAGCGAACCTAGATCAGGTTGGGGGCACAACAGCTGATTGTTTTGTTTTCTACTGGACTGATCCTTAGATTAAACACAGTTTCGTTCCTCCAGAGGTCTTTTATCATGTGATAGCTCTTGTCATTCGACGCGTAACCTGTGAAGCTACGGTATGATGCACCAAAAAGCCCTTACACTATTTGAATTTACAGCCGATCGCTTCAACCCCTTATTCGATTACAGAGCCGGTGTTGTGAACCACAGTCCCTTAATCCCTTCTTATTACCATGAACCCCGTTCTGGATAGCCGCTTGATCGCCTGGTGCGGTTGGCAAAACCAGAAAAGTTAATGAACGTGCGAGCCAGCTGTTCTA